GTGGCCTATTATATCGAAATTTGGTCAAAATCAGGAATTTCACTAAAAGTGGGTCCTCAGAGGTATTCTGACTCCCTCAGTACGGGTATCGCATTTATTTTTCGCAAAAAAAGCTGACGCATGCTTTACGGACACCGCGCTCAAACTAGGGTCACGCAAGCTAGGCAAAATATCGAACTAAAAGATCCCATCATCGGAAAGCAAACTACGTTCGAGCTACTGATGATGGAAAAATAGTGGTGCACTACAGTCTGAAGCCTCATCGGAAAAGTGTAAAAGAGCCAATCCAGTTGATCCATCGACATCCTGATTGACTTCTCGTTCAAACGCCGACGTTGTTGAGGCTGACACTTGCCTGTGTCGAGTTGAGAAGGAGGAACACCCCCTTATAACTCTGTTCTAGAAATCAATTAGCAGATTTGGAAAGCAGTATGAGATAAGAGTCCAGAACACCTTACATGGTACATAGTAAGTCATTGCATATGGCCACCTCTACCTATGATCCTTTCTTGGTTAGCAGATAGTTACTTATTCTACTTTGTGGACCAGAATCCGTGAAGATAAACCTAGCTTGTTCACTCTCAAGTCTCTCCTGTCATACTCGGTTCTTTCTCCCACTGGCATCCACTGATAGAAAACGTAAATTAATAATCCTGACAACTGCTGAATTCGGCTGAGACCTTATTTGTAGTATTTTAGGTACCGGATATCTTAATGTCGTTTTTCTGAGTTCAGGAAGTTTCGGGGCCGATTACCATGGAAAATCAATTTCTCAGAACGTTCTTTTTGCTTATTAATACTACGTAATATGTTGCTTATTAGTCCCTATTGTTACTTTACAATTTACCTCTCCCCCAATTTTTATACTTTTTCTGAAAATTCCTGGGTTCATTGCGCAAATTCGTATGTGTGTACCAAATGCCATCAAAGTCGGGCTGGGAGCTACAGATCCGCCAACCAAACTAACATTGCTTTTGTTAGGAAGGAATACTACCGTTTGGAATGCTCAACGGTTCTCCTCAGGTTTCCTAAAAGACAGTGAAGTTTTTGAAAGGATGCCTGGCAATCGTCTTCAAAAAGATGGCCCTAGTTAAGCCAGCTGAGAAGGGGCTGCACCAGACTTGTGCTGAAATGGTAGGATACTTTCACTGTGATGGATTGATGATGCGCAAACATTCCTATGAATTTGATTCCGCAAGATATTCTGATAAATGTGCTCACCTGCCTCTCACGCGCGCTCAAAAAGGGTGCGTTTTTGACCCTATGTTGCAAAAAAGTCTCCGTAAAAAACTGCCCACTTGGGCTGATAAGTTCTAATTTTTCTGTCGTGCAATGCAGACCCTACGCTAACCAGCTGTATACTTACTTTCTAGGCCTTACTATTGTCCAAGGCCTTACTTTTTAGCAAGTAAGAGGGATGAATCCCATTTCAAGATGGTCCCAGAAAACGACCTTGCCATCTCCTTTTTAACCTCCTAAAAAAATATCGCGAGCTTGTATCGTGCCAAGGTTTCCCCTCAAGAAGCGTTTAGACTGAGTGGATCTAGGTCAGCATTGCCATGTTTTAATAATTCAACCTAATTCGTGCGCGTGCGGGTTTTGAACTGGGAAATATTGTATGGTATCCAAAAACTCTCTGAGTGAAAAAGACATTAAGATATCCGGTACAATATAATATTTTGACGCGATCACGGTACACACATCTTATCAATCGAACTTTGTGTGTCATTATTATGCGACTTACTAATAGTACATGAACAACGTTGCTCGAGAACTCAACTTCCCTTCAATTACCGTACAGACTGAGTTGGATCGACTTAAGACAAGTCCCTTTCTTCTCATTAAAAGGCTGGAGTTTTGAAGAAAAGCTAATCTCACGTGTAGGACACCAGATCTGACCACCATGATGACTGAAAAAAAGGCAAAAAACACACAACGGACAAGAATCCAAGTGTCCAGGACCGTATGCCCGTTGACTTCCGCATTGTGGCGCGACTCTCCTAAGCACTGCCCCTCAATAGAGCTGACACTTAAATTCTTTTGTTAAAGCTAGAACAGCTGGCGGAGGTGCGGCGTGCCACGTGCCGCAAGAGCGGTGTATGGCTTGCTAGTTGTCCGGAGACGTACTCTGCGTATATTCCCCCTCTTCAATTTCCGGCCTTATTCTGAAATTGTCCCTTAGTGGGTGTCAGTGACTATCGACACGCTTTCTGGCTGTCAGAATAGCAGAATGTGTGGCGCATTTTAACGGAGAAGATGTGAGACGCAGTAGTTTTACTTCATAGTTTCAAATTTCATATAATTTCCAGCTAGAGTTGAAAAACATACCCCCTTATATATAACAGAAATGAGAACGTTCTCCTCTTGGTCTCCATATGCGGTGTTAATCCAGCGATGAAGAAAAAGGAAAATTAGTCTCTAATTATAGCTCGCTCGCAAAAGTGTACCTTAAGGACACTTTTTTCGAGGAGCATGCTTTGAGGCAGCCAAGTATTGATAGAACCCTTTTGGGACTATTCATTATGAAAGCTGCTTTCCCTTGAACTCACTAATCTTTAGACTATGAGAACGCAGTCTGAGAATAGAGGACTGAGGATTACCATTTAGTTGTCCCTAATTCATCAGAAGTGGTGGTCCATTTGTCCTTCCCACTTGCGATCCGACTTATAATTTGGACCTCCTCTGCACACCCACCGTTCCTTCACTCCTTCTCTCTTTTCGGTTTGAAGCCACACGCCAAGATAAAGCTGATGTGCACACAAAAGTGAAAGCTATACGGTACGAAATGGGACGCTCAGTGATAAAAAAAAGATTCAGGTGTGACTAGAAACGCTGAAATGGCATCTCATTTTTATAATTCGCATGTTATAAGGCGCTAAGACACCGAACGTGAAACAGAGGCGTAAGAGAGAAAGGAGAAGATGCATCGGTAAAGGAGTTTTTAGAATCAGCGCCTGCCTCCGTCACTTTTTGAGACCATCTAAAGAACCGTTGCGTATTAAATAGACTGTCCACCCCATTAAATAGTTGAACCTCCATATGAACCTTACCATGAGGCTTGCCTTCACAGTGGATCTTTACTGTCCTCACTGAGCTAGTTGAGAGCTCTGTCCCTTGGTGTCTGCTCGAGTCTTCTCATCAGTTCAATAGCCCTTATCCCAAGTATTGTATAACACAAAGAGGCACCAAAACTTCATCCCAAAAGAATCCCATAAGTTAACAAAATTCCAACGTTTTCCTATTCCCAAACAAATTCCCGCAAAACCTCAAGAAACGTTTGATGAATAGCAATTCCTTCGAAAATTCTTCCGCGGATCTTTCCTGAATTATAATGCATCTGTAGTCAGGCTGTGTTCTGCCTTAGCCAATATAAAGCTGCATTTACGGGAGCCGCCGTCCGTCTAACGTGGCAATTCCTCTTTAAACATAAACATTCTCTGTACCTTTTGTTGTGTTATACAATTACTTGGTCTTTATGAGGCTCCGAACAGCACAATACCAAGCAGTTCTTATGGTTAGCCCTTGTGCCCAAACCATCTTGCCCGCAAGCTTAAAACTCAAACCTTAAATGTTGGTCCCCGCCCGCAACGACCTCTGCAATACGATGCAAACCTTCTGCTTACCCCCTGCCTGCTTATTTATTCTTTACTTTCGTTATTCTTGTAAGTGAGCGCAGAACTTAAGTGAGGTCAACTTTGCAACTCTCCAACCAACTGCATTTTGCCTTTCTGATCCTGCTTCACGCGTAATACATCAAAAAACCGCGTGCCCCGTTGAAATGGCAGACTGATTAGCCGGGAATCTTCTTTTGCTGTCCTGCGCAGACCATTTGAAAACTATGTAGATAGTCAGATCTGAGCAAAGCAGATAGTATACTCCCGCTGTCAGATGACATAGGTTTAACATGTAAAAATAAAGGATAAAAGGATAAAGCATTTGCCGTTGATCAATCCCTTTTTGGGATGCGGCACGCATTCTACTTCCATTTGTACATTCGCAGTGGCATTTGAATGCGATGTGGCCTATACAATGACTTGCGGGGGCCAGCCGATGTTCAAGTCAGTGTTTTTATCCTCCCAGACAAGTCTGGTACCAATTAACCGACCCCGGAGGGATGGAAGGCTTGGTTGGCCCGGGCGACTCACGACCCAGGATTTGATCCCCGGACCGCGTCACCGCGGTGGTTGGAAGGCGCATTCCCAGCGCTTGTCAAACTAGCGACCCACCTTTGTGCCGCCCCCAATTACGTACAAGCAATATTATAACATGTAAATTGTTACACACTTTTTCAAGATTGATTGGGGGATTCCAAAGGCTTTTCTGTGTTAGGATGGATGAGATATCTGCCTCTGATATATCAAATGTTCGGTAAAAGAAGTAGGGAGGGGAAATCCAGGGGAAATCCAGAAAAGCTAGGCCATCTTCATTCTCATCTCCTTCACAAGTGTAAAGAGGACTTTTTACCACCTTACCCATTGGACCTCTCTGGAATTTTGCTACAACTTCTATCGTTAACGAAATCTATCCTGATCACCAAATATTATAAACCGAGGAGATCCTCCATGCAGCCTCTAGTTGCTTCACTCCGCTGGTCTTCCATGGGACGTGATAGAAAACTTATCAAAATAAAAAGAAATCGTGAAATATCATTCCTCAGCCTTTTACTTACCACTTCTGTGACTCGGCTTGCAATGAATTCCGGATATGTATTCTGTCTCGGTTAAATGTAGCGCTAATACGTCTATATGCACCCTGCGGCAGTAATTAAAAATGTGCTTGAGCCAAGCATCACGACACACGACGGATCCCTCCGTCCGTCCATCAACTACTAAGTTCATTACCACCAAATCGAGCCTCGCCCAGCTTGCAAATGCGCACATAGTCTCGTCTTTGAATCGTGTTCTGCGTCGATATTGTCGTGCTTTTCTAGACTGACCTTATGGAGATCTTTCTGATGTGGTGGCACTGTCGCCGTGGGATGTCGTACTGAAGCACAAGTGATGCCACCACCAGCCGTCGCTAGCGACGCAAAGCGACCGCTTGTTCTTGCAGCTGTTCTACTCGGCATGATATTCATTCTCATCTACATACTCATCACTTTCCCACGCCCACTTATTGCTGCACCACGTGGCCCACAATCTCCGATCATGGCTGGAGGAGGCTCTGACGCCGACCCGTCGTCAGCCCGTGGATTGCTTGGCGACGACGATCCGTTCCGATTTGCTGATCAACCGTTTCACCGACATCACATACCGAATATTGTGCAGCCGTCTCTCTATCAGATTCAACTGAAAGTCTACTTGCCATGGCGACCGTGAGTTTTTAAATTTTGGCAGCTTCTTGGTGGAAGTAAAGAAAGTATCCTGACACATTCACGCCGATGGCCGCCCATATGGGCTGCCAACTGATAATCGCTTGCCAGGCGCTAGGAATGGACAGATAGGTGGGCAAACCTCGTAATCGAGTGTAAAATGCTTTTAAATTCCTTCACGGGGAAAGTGAATAAATGCTCTCTTTTCGTAACCACTATTCGTCGTTCTGATCGAAATCCTACTGTTATATGTTTAGATAATCTTTACGCATTGGACATTGCAGAAATTATTTTGTGACATTCATGTTTTTGTTCATTTACAGTACAAAATCTGCGGATGTGAGGTGAGGCGGCGGCGCCCACAAAATCGCGTCCGTCCCACGCGACCGAAAGTGGAAAAGGGGCGCGTCGTGAATGTGTTAAGAGCAGTGCTGACCGTCAACTTTCCACAATGACCTTTTTCCCGAAGACACTAGCGAGATTTCATACGATCTAAGACCAGGGGGCGGTCTTCAATCTTCCCTAGGGGGATATATCCCCCTACTTCAATCCTCTGGGGGGACAAAAAAAGAGTTGAACCTCCTGGGGTGGTATTCAATCCTCCCTGGGGGTTGGACACCCAGGAGGTTCTGAGTAGATTCATGTTCGCTGATGTCTGAAACTTATCGTCCATCGCTCGGAAATACTCGTTGACCGAGTGGGGGTTATCATGTTGGCGACAACGCGAGGTTTGGTTTTTGGCTGCCTGGTCCTTGCACGATCCCATGTGAACTGTGGTCGCGATGGAAGGAACGCTGCCTGTTTTTTTTAGGTTTTAATACGCTGCAGACCGGCAAATTTATTTGTATTCTTTGTTTGTATTGACACATGCCAGTGCGATTGCGGTGAGCCATTAAAGGAATCCTCCACGAAAAAGCTCCGCCCTCATTACCACAGAAAACGATACCTTAAAGGAATCTTCCACGGAAAGAGTGATCATTTTGTCTTGTGTGTAGGATTAGTATTATCGAAACTAACACTTATGTTCCGTTCTTTTTGCTATGCTCATGAGGCTAGGGGCCTAAGGGGTATCGTTTTTCTAGGGTAATGGAGGCGGAGCTTTTTCCGCGGAAGATTCCTTTAAGCATACAGTCCCAACAGGTGTCTGCTTCCATTGATAGTGAAGTTATAAGAACCTACTGAGAAAAAGCTCAAAGAAGGGCGTTAAATCCTCAAAATGGGTGTGTCCGGCCAGATTAGGGGATCGGCAGTGGGTGACGGAAGCTTCTTTGTGGATTGAAAAGTTCTTCTGGGACCGCCCAGCTTGCCGCCGGTGATTGGCTTACGGAGGGCATGGGAGGCGTGCTCGTTTCGGGACCAGAGGGGAGTATTTAATACGAACTCTGTCCTTTAAAGTAATCAATCTGATCCTGCCGGTTGCAGTGGAATTGCTTCTTTTTTTGTGTTGTTCTAATGTTGTTATGTTATGTGGTGTTATGTAATGTTGTAATCTGTTGTAATGGCCACCAAGTCAGTCAGTTATTAGCGGAATCAAGGCTTCCCCAGCTAAATGGAAGGGCTCCCCAGCTAAATGGAAGGGTCGAATTGCAGTAGTTTGAGGGGTGATCGAACTGTTAGTGAATGAGCTAGAGATTGCACTCCAATTGCAAGAGTTGGCAAATAGGCCAACTATTATGGCTATTTGCCAGCAATTGCAATTGGAGCGCAGGTTCGGACAACTCGTCCAGCACGCGTCTTCTCTCATCGCTAAGGGCAGAGGGTGAGTTCCTGTTCAAAGCCTTATTCCGCGTTTTTCTTTGGTTTTTTCATTACTGTCGGTCAAATTGTGGGCTATAACTACATTATCAACGGTTTTTACCTCGTAAATTCGTCCTGGAACTGTTGCTTTAAGTGAGAAGTCAAGAGTTTGGAAGCTGCTCATCTTCAAAGCGAATTCATCACAACAGCTCTCGAGTCTCCCCGTAACATTTCAGTAGTTTGAGGAGTAACCCCATGAATTTTATGATGACATTATTTTTTATTATTTGGGAAGATTAAAACCAGTCTTGGACTACCAAGTCGAATCCTTTATGATCTAAATCAAACTGTTTGGTGAAATCCTGTAGATGATGCTGAGCTCTTCCATGGGGTCCAGAAACCGTTTCAAATTTTGTAGTATCATACCGTGACTTTTATCGACCTGTTACTGATATGCTGTTCTCTGATGCTAAGCATTAAATTAATGGAAAGTGAGGCGGTGCAAATCAGCTGAATGGACTTTGCATTAGGGTGGCGATAGCTGCCATTCGTTTTATCCCAGTAGGCAATTTTGCAAGACATTCTCATTTATTTTTAATGTAGGACACAAAAAATGCCCTTTTGCAGCGAAATGTGCTTATCAGAAGGTCGCACCAAAACCACGTATACCACGAAGAACACGGTTTCAAAAATCATCTCAAAACCGACGGAATTTGTTTAGTGGCGTCACGTTCGGAGCGTTGGACTTCACCATGGATGGTAAAACTCAAATGGAATTCACCGTTCTTCGCGCCACACGACGAATTCAGCTGAATATTAAGCAACTCAATATAACTTCAGTACGAGTCTACAGAGCCCTCGAGGAAATCCATGTCGACGAGGTGAGCATCTTGAGATACCCTTGGAGGTGGTAGCAGTTTGAGGATTTCTCGATAGGGTTGTGCGTATTAGTAAAACTGGGAGGGGAGGTGTCGTATTTGTGACCTTCAGAAGAGGTAGATGAGTGCGGTAGGGTGCACGGGAAAAATGTAAAAGTGGGATAAAATGTAAAATTTGCTGTTTCTGCGGTCATAGACCCCCTACCCGCTTCTGTTCGACGACATGTCCGAAGGAAACTTGTGCGTGGTTCGAGTTGTTAGTGATTCTCGTTGAACGCTGCACCCGTAAAAATCGAAAAATCTTTTTGGTTTTTTAATTATAACTCGGTTCAAAATTAAGATTTTCAAAATCTGAAAAAAGCATTGAACTCAGCTCGTCGAGTTCTATAAGAATGTGCTTTTAAACTTTTGAAAGCCCACTTCAGATTGCGCCATGCACTCGAGCTTTGGCTCGAGAAAAAATTGTTTGAATGTGGTGCGCATATAATCCCGCTTATGCATCATGATCGTTCTCCAGAGAGATGATCTCAAGCAATTGATCAGAACGGCCACTATTCAAATCTTCCTTTTCATGTGATTGACTCGATCATTTTTTCCGGATCATGCGTCCCTATTTTCATTTTGACGCGCATATTGATACACTGATAGTCCCTGCCTTATATCGTCCCTCGTGTTTAAATGGCGGATGCTTAGATCAGTTTCACACGCGACAATTACCCTATTTGGTGAAACTCGCCGAAATCTGAATAGGTAGCAGCGAAATTTCTTCACTCTTGTGGAGTACGCTTACTTGTGTACAGGAATTATATGACATACTTGATCGCAGATGAGCGCTCCTCCCGTGGTGTGGCCAAACATCCTCTGTGTCTTGAGAAAGATCGACTTTTTGCCATTTCCAATTAATTACAAACCTGGGATGTGCCTGCGTGGATTCCGTGAAAACGCCTAACGACGATATGCCATTGATGCCTTAAGTGAAGTTTTGGATTTTCATCGTTTTCGGGCTTCTCCGCTCTGCAGATCGGCCTATCTAGCTCTCGAAAGCCACGTGCAATCCGCGTGCGCGGTGCGTGATGCCGTTCCCATGCTCGTGCAACAGCCATGGCGACGTATTGATCGGGTTGCCCATTGACTACGACCGAAGCAATGGCCGCTTAGTGACGCTAGCTCAGCACTGCGATCCATTGACTCCGCGGCGGGGCTCTTGTCGGCCGTACCCGGGTACCACCGCCTGCTGTGCTTTCCTAACCGAGTCTCTTTCCGAATAAAAAGAAAAAAAAACATGAATAAGTCACTATACCACGCGACAAAAACTCTACAGGGTGCGCCAAAATTACGGAGACAACGCATGAGCAAACAATTTGAACTGATATTCACAGATGCTGTTTTCTTCTGTCCTAGTTTTGGTACTGTGGTGTAGAATTGCTTATGCTTACCTTGTTCAACCACCAAAATCTATGGTAGCTGCAGCGGTTGACTGATACTGACACCGTCCCTAAATCATTGGACTTCGACGTTGAGGGTTTTTGGCACGCGACAATATATCATCGTTTTGGTGTATACCCGAGCACTATCAATAGATGCTCCAAGTGGTACAGGGGACAAGGAGCTGAATGCAGTCATTCTGGATGAGAAGGGCGTGTTTCTGTGGCGACCACGAACAATCTAAGGATTGTGTGCGATAGAATTTGCAGGTAGTTGACGCGCTGGTTTCACTGGATGTCACGAGAGATAGGAATCAGGGGGGCTCTTTTGGACTTATCAGAGCCCATTGCTATCCTGAGTTTATTTTCACTTTGAAAATCGTTGCTGGGCCTTCCATCAAGTAGGAGCTCCCGTTTACGAGGCAAGGGTGGTTCAGTACTAGTGCAGCATTGATGCAGAACCGATTTTTTCGACTTTGTCGGCTTAAACGGTGGTAGAACAGCATTTCAGATCTGAGCTCGATAGGGTACGCTGTCGGATCCGTTCTAGAAGCTGAGGCTTGCATAAAACACATTATGTCTAGGAATTCGTTGAAGAAACCGCTCTAAAATGAGCTTGACGAGTCCTACTCGCCACATTGCGTGCCACAGTCGATGGTTCCTCGATGTTTCTGAGGACCCGTATAAACACAAACCAAGGAATTTCAAAAATTGCATGGATGTCGACGATTCAGAATGGGACTGTGCACGTCACTGCATTTTTGTTTTCAAAGAATTGCACCTTGCTCATCCTAGGCAACTCGAAGTCGCTGTCTCCGTAATTTTGGCGCACCCTGTATACGCAATCACTATTGCCTCAACGGATACAGTACTATACGAACTCCGCATGAACTGTGTGAGGAACGCAGAGGGGTTTGACACTGGAAACCGATACCCATTAATACCAGGGTAGGATGACGGCAAACGCACTAGCTACATGAAGCGTCAGATTGTAAGGAAAGCAAAACAAAGTCTGCCTTTTCTCTGAGGACGTTCAACTTCACTTTGCAGGGAAACTTGCTAAGGGGTTTGCCGGTGACGGCGTTCTCTTGTTCGGCTTCAACTCGCTGTGAAGCAAGGCTTACCGCTACGCTACGTTCTCCTTCCCGGTTCTTTGTCTGGCGACAAGTGTTCATTGTCTCATGTAAGGTTTCCAAAAATTTCTTTGGTTAAGAAATATGGTACAAGAGGGGCATTTATCGACCACCTCGGTGATGGTGTGTACAGTTTTATACAGTAAATATGAAATATAAATTAGAGAAAATTTGAAAAGTTGTCAAAGGTTCAAATTAATGGAGTGCCGATCTGATATTTTTCAGAAAGTTATTCGTAGCTAGATATTCTCGATAGCAGTCTAATGTATTCCAGATTTCTGAAGACTATCCTCAATTGTTGGATATTTTCACAACCATGGATCTGCAGCCAGGACATCACTACCGTTTGGTTATTAAATTCAAAACCAATATCAATAATCCACGCTTCGCTGGCGTATTCGTAGCACCTTATCGTCATGCATCGCGGAGAGTACTATCATGTAAGGCTCCAAGCATACAGGGCATCAAAAAGATATATTGATACTCAAGCATGCAGTCAATGGTGTTAGATGCCATCTTTATATTTTGCGTATTACTGGTTGTGAGCTACAAAACGCAACAAGTTTGCCAACCCTAGGGAGGCTCGCCCAGTCTGTTTCCATGCTATTGACAGTCCTGAGGCGAAGGCACGGTTTGACGCTACTGTGATCCATCCTGAAGGCACCTACGCGCTGTTCAATATGAAAGAGACGAACGTCACGACCAGCAAGTGAGTTTGAGCTTTGCTTGTAAGGGCGCTTGCATTCTGCTCTATCGGCCAATTAGTGTATTGCTAGAATTTGTATTGCTATGTCCCAAAGAGAACGAATTGCAAACAGGTATCTTGACATACGTGCTCTAAGAAGTTTGAAAGTTCCGAGTTGGACCTACGCCCATCCCTGCTTGAGTCTTGTTTGTTGGCTCCATCTCTGTTGTTTGCTACCCCATCGAAGAACTGCCTACAATAGGGCGACTCGAGTATGAGAAGAGCACAGGCTGTCATCATCGGCCAGCGCGGCTGTTTTAATTTCTTCGAGGATTTGTAGCCGCGATTTTCTACTGACTTCAGTCATGGAAGTGACCATACGATATTTACTGCACAATCTACTTTCCAAAAGCAAAGTACCTGAATGAGCCAGTGTGTGCCATCGTCCGTATAGTTTAGTCGTAGGAGATTGTGACATAATAAGTGAGTCGTGGGCAAAGCTTTCGCCCAGCCGACTTTGCCACCAGATCTGTTTTTTCAAATTGGGATTACCAGGTTACCACTGAGCGCCTTTTCACCCCACTTGTTATGTGGCTATGAAGTTTACATAATCGCCAATCACACCATGCGTGAGGAATCGGTCAGCCATTATCGACAGTAAACCGCAGGACTTAAAGCCGTTTTAGGTGTTACATTATGACTTTTCTTGGATAACTACTGTTCTACGCCGCAGTTCGCGTTACGAAACTGATAACAAGAATGCTGAGTTGTCGAAGAACTTTCATTTAAACATTGCTCGGAAGCAAGAGATCCCGGTGCCTGAATCCAGCCGCGCGGGAATTTTTCTCAAACTCGGCATTCGTGTGTTTGCAGCGAGTCCGCGGTGGTATACTATATTGATTAATAGAAACTGGAGCACACACAATTCGGAAGCGCAGCAGTTTTCTCGAAGTGTTTCATTTTAGCAGAGCGTAGTAAACTCGCAGCCCCAGTAAGGTTTTTTTTTGTTCCCGCAGTGCGACTTCTGTTACTTCTATCGTGTACTCGGTAGGAGGAAGAGTGGCGGTGGCGGGAGAGGAGAGGTAGGGGGCTTGCAAAATAACAAGTTGAGGGTCAGTCGGGGCATCAACATTTCTTTATTGTCGATCATTTGTGCAGCGCAATCACTCAAGCCTAACACACTCAGTTACGATCATAATTCGAAATTTAAAGTTAGTTGTGCTGGCAGGAGACAGGCTGGCTTTCTCGACCCGGCTGCTCCTGTCAGCATGTTTCGTTTAATGATGCAGTATTTGTAGAAATATACTATAATATTCAATTTACTTTGAAATTATATCTATAACCATTGTTTTCTTCAAGGGATGCCGATGACGACGAAATTCCTTCCGACCTTACCCGAATATGTCTTAATATCTGCCCTTCTCCATGATTGTCGGCCGATGCTTACAGCGAGACTTACACGGAAAAGGGAGTACGGGTGAGCCAATAACCTCGTGTTCTATTGCCTTCTCTATGCCCAACTGATGCAAAGGAATACGTGAGCATAAAATGCCTGTTTTTTCAGCCACCCTGAAAGGCATAGTAGTATGTTTATTGTTAATAAGTTAGTTTGTTGTTACATTCGGCATTATGCAATCGGACTCTGAGCGCTACCATCTTTTTAGCGAGTTACGGTGCTAGTGCGATCAAGGGGTAAACCACAGTACCCACTACATTCACAGCATTCGTCCTGAGCAACTAGAAAAAACCTCCTAAAATTTCATGAAACCTCTAACCTGTTATCTATTGTCCGCGTCGTTCATTGAGGGTACAGTGATGGAGGAAGAAACCAACTATTTCAGGTTCGCATTTATGCCGAAGAAGGGAAATTGAACGACACTAGCATGGCTTTAGACCTCGTCCCAAGACTGCTGGCGTTTTTCGAAGATTATTTCCAATTACCGTACCCACTGATGAAGTTAGGTTAGTAATCTTTTTATATATGTAGATTATCTATAGTGTTCAAATGTCTGTTTTTATTGTTCACCTTCATCTTCATTTTTCAAACAAGCAATTCTGATTCGAATCTAATGCCACAAACTTGCCATTGGCGGGTAGTAGCTCTCCGCATAAAGAAGATACAAGCTTATAGCAAAGGATAAAGCATTTGCCGTTGATCAATCCCTTTTTGGGATGCGGCACGCATTCTACTTCCATTTGTACATTCGTAGTGGCGTTTGAATGCGATGTGGCCTATACTTGCGACTTGCGAGGGCCAACTGTTCAGTATTTTTACCCTCTCAGAATTCAGGTCTGAATCCAATTTGGAAGTCCATGGTTGACCCGGATGCCCCAGGATTTGATCCTCAACCGCCGGCGTGGTAAGCAGCGCCACTTGCTAGTGCACACTTGCGCCTAAATCTTATAATACTTGAAATTGAAATTCGCACGTACATAAAGGTAGTGATCACGTGGCCAAAGGACGTTGCAGTTTTGATGCGGTCGTAAGACAGCATTCGTGGGAGAGGCGCTAAGAGGCGATCTCGACCATATAACCAGCGCGCTGAGACACTTACATCACTAATGACGATACCATAACAGCAGTGTCACCCAGCCATCGTAGTCGCTGCCTTTAAATGATTGTGTCGATATGTATTTGGTATCAACTGCGGCAGTGAAATCGTGTATGAGATCATATTATTAGGTAAATTATCGAACGAAAGAGCCTATTAATCATCGTCGTCGTCATAAGTGAGTTACGATATCAGGGTGTGCGAGGCAAACAGGCGGCAAAGTCGTTCCATCCATGCTGTGTGTTGTGCTTGTTCGCGACCACGAGTGTTCGTCAGTATAGCGACCTGAAAACTGGGTAAAGATCACATTATGATTCGTATAAATTTTCGAAACAACTTCATAAGAGTGCAGAGACACGGGGTCGCAAATGATTTCCTGATGGAGGATGTGATTGTAGTGATGACCTCCGCAAATTACAGCATGCCATGCCCCAGGATTGGGTTCGTGTGGTCCTTGCACACGAGCACGAATGTTTTGGTGCGAAGTGGGCCGGCAGCAAAGAAAAAAGAAAAAGGTTCCCCAAAAACGCTCAAGGTTGAGCGTTCACTCACCTTCGCAATCGGCCGTGCTACCGCAATGAAGACTAAGCCGAGGGAATCTTCTTCTTCTTCTTATTCTTTAGCGTCTGTCCCGCTTGTAGGCGGGGTCCGCTTTTCTTATGTGTTGACGCCACTTTTCCCGATTAAATGCTTGATCGGGGTGGATATTAACTGACTTCAAGTCTACGTGCAACGTATCGAGCCATCGCTGCTTCGGGCGCCCCCTAGGCCGCTTTCCGGGCACGTCAAGGTTGAGACCGATCTTACAGACACTGTCATCTTTCGCGCGAAGGACATGACCATACCATCGAAGACGGGCTTCGCGCATCTTGTCGACAATTGGAGCCACCCCGAATCGCTCTCTGATGACATCGTTTCGAATGTGGTCTACTCGTGTGACTCCGGCTGTCCATCGCAGCATCTTGGTCTCCATCACACTGAGCCGTGCTTCGATCTCTTTAGTCGTAGGCCAGCACTCAGCACCGTAAATCGCGACCGGCCGGATGACGGTCCTATAGATCTTAGATTTGAGACGTTCTGGCATGTTTTTATCGCAGAGAACGCCAGTCATCGAGCGCCATTTCGACCAGGCTGCATTCACGCGAGAATTCGTTTCGAAGACCAGGCTGCCGTCAGACGCGATTGCTGATCCAAGATACTTGAATGATGTTGCACGAGTGAGTTCAGTACCATTGATCTTAATAGAGCCTAACTCACTCGAATCGGTGGTCAAGTACTCAGTCTTCTTAACGTTCAGCTTGAGCCCGAACATAGCTAGACGGTCGGACCAGGCTTGTACCTGTTGCTCGAGCGTGCTTTTATCTTCGCTAGCGAGCATCACGTCATCAGCATAAAGAAGTGTCCATGGAGCCGGCTTCTGGAGATCTCTCGTAATGGCATCCATGACGACAACAAATAGGAGTGGGGATAACGCAGAGCCTTGATGTACCCCGACAGAGATGGGAAAATCCATCGATGTTCCTGCTGCCGTTTGCACTCGGCTCTTTGGACTCGAGTAAAGGATGCGCACCCACTCGACGAGCTCTTCAGGCACGCCATGCTGTCGTAAGGCATACCATATAACGTCCCGCGGAACGCGGTCGAATGCCTTCTCCAAATCTAGGAAGGCAAGGTGCACCGGTCTTTGTTTCTCGCGATGCTTTTCTAGCAGAAGGCGAGCGGCATGTATGGCATCGATAGTGCTGCAACTAGCCACAAAACCACACTGGTTGGTGGTCAGCTCGACGATGTCCCGGATACGGCTATCTACAACTCGCTCAAAGATTTTCATGCTGTGCGAAAGCAGGCGAATTGGACGATAGCTAGTGCAGTCTCCTGGACTGCCCTTCTTCTTCCAGATAGGAATCGTCGTGCTTTGTTGCCAGCTTTCAGGCACCTTCTTCTCTGCAACGATCTGGTTGAAGAACTCCGTCAACCATTCTGCAGGATTCCAGCATTTTGATTTCCACAAGTCCGCCGCTAAGTCGTCAGGACCAGTTGCTTTGCCTGATTTCATCTTCTTCATGGCCGTGATGGTCTCCTCCACGGTTATCTTCTGAACGGGACCGTGTACTGGCGGAGCGCAGGGGATGGCGGGATGAGTAAATTCGACTGTTGAGATGTTTTCGAAGTAGTCACGCCATCGTTTCAGTGTTTTCTTGCGGTCCGTCAAGAGGTGGCCATTCTCGTCATTTATGCCGAAGAATTTTTCTATATCCTCGGTCTGGCGATGGCGGGTCTTTGCAAGTCGGTAAACGTACCGCTCTCCATCGCGCGACTCGAGTTTCTTACTGATATCAGCAAAATGAGCTGCTTTCGCAGAAGCAACGGCCTTCTTTGCCTCTTTCTTCGCTATCTGATAGCTCCGCCAGTTCTCAGCTGTCTTTTCGTGAAGAAATGCGTGGTACCGCTTCTTCTTTTCGCGCACTTTCTCTCTGACCTGGTCCGTCCACAGCCACGTTTGCTTGTCAATTCTCCGCCGCCCCGGCTTCGTCATCCCGAGCTCGGATCGAGCTATCCGAGTTATTTCTTCGGCAGCACCTTTCCAGGTTTCGTCGACAGTCGTTACCGCTGGTAATTGAATGCGGGAAATGACGGCCGCTTCTTTTTCCTTCAGTCGCCACCACTTGATTCTCGCTGGCCCACACCTTTCGGTTAGTTTCGGTTTCGGCGGGGCGATCTTTAGCGTACAAATTAGTGGTCGGTGTTGCGTGGCGACCGTTTCATAAGGCACTGTTTTCGCGTCTGTTACGAGCCCTTGGTCGCGGCGCCTGACAAGTACGAAATCAATTTGTGTTCTGGTGTTACCGCTATAGAAGGTGATGAGATGTGAGTCGCGTTTTCGGAATTTCGTGTTCACAATGGCGAGGTTGTGCGAGTCTGCATACTCGAGAATTCGCTCGCCATCAGTTTACGTGACCCATATCCAAAACCACCGTGACAGCTGTAACCGTCTTTCGTAGCGCCAACGTGCCCATTGAGGTCACCTGCGACAATTATAGCTTCTTGTGACGGAACCTCAGCTGTCTTCTCATCAAGCAGATTCCAGAACTTATCTTTGGCTTGTTCGGAGCATCCGGTCTGCGGAGCGTACGCAGAGAAGAAGTGGTATTTTCGTGTTCAATGACGACAATGATTTTCATTAATCGGTCGTCGAAGCGCTCCACGTTTACTATCGAATCACGAAAGCGTTCAGAGACAATCATCCCGACGCCATTGGTGGTTTTGGGACCGCCACAGAGAACGGCTTTGAAGCCGCGGCCAATGTCCCTCGACTTGCAGCAGGACCACCTCGTTTCCTGCACGGCACAGAAGTCTATTCGTCGGCGCTCTAGCGCTTCTGCCAGCTCGCTGGAGCGGCCCGTCAACGTGCCAACATTTAATGTTGCAACGCGGGTCTTCGATACGTTGCATGGCTTTTGGACTAGCCTAGTTGCCCCCCGATGCCGTCCTTGCACCGGAGACCCTCGCATACTTTTCACACTCGCCGGGCTTTGCGAGTGCGCGTCGGCTCCCGCGGACGCCGTAGCATTATCTCGAGATTCATATGGCGACATTAACATTTGTGATGTGACGTGGGTGTTCGTAGGCCGGCCTGTCACGGGGGCCTGTCGCCTGCATTCGAATGTCCGTGGTCGGCTCAGCTCACAAAAGTGAGCAGTTTCCAGTGGCACCCCTTGGAGGAACGGACACCGCCACCTTTGGAGGAATGACACAGCCACCGAGAGTATGAGACAAGAAAGCGCAACAGATGAGAGGGCGCCAGACAACAACAGCCTGATAAGAAGGAAAAAGTCTGCAGCTTCAGCGCTTCACTTTGCAAGGCCCTAACGCTCTTATCGGGTTGATTTCCGCCCACGGGAATGTCACATCTGTGGTTGTCCTCTATCCTACAGGC